CAAATGGTCCTGTTAGTTTGATGTCTGGGGGGCGCCTTTCAGGCATCTACGCGCAATGGTTTCAGGGCTTGAGCCCATGTGAAAGCATTCATCACTACTATGGATGACCGTATCTGGAGTTCTCTTGAACAGTCCGGATTTCAATTCTTGGGCGAGCTCAAAGGGCATTTCTTGACCCCCTGGCATGTGGCTTGTGCAGTCGATAGCTTGGGTGATACAATTCCTCTGGTGAGGCAGTTAAAGTCTGGATTGCTGGAGTCTGAAGAAAAGAGGGAGGCGGAACGTCTTTGGCAATGGTTAACCGACAATGCTGACCTTCTTAAGAGAGTTCAGGCAAGGCTACTGGCAAAATCTCAGCGGGTGGAGGCCTTTATACGAGAGTCTCCTGCAGCGTCTTCGGTGTACGACCAACAGGTCAGTGGCTCAGTCGAGCTGCAGAAGCAGGTGAGCAAATCGCGTCACAGGTGGCTGGCCAATGGCAATGGAACTCCGGCTGAAGCGGAGAAGGCGGCTAAGAAGTTCTGGGGCACCGTTTTGGTCCAGATTATGCTGGAGGCCAGCCTTCCGATCAGCAACATGAAGGCGGACACTGAAGAGCAGAGGGCATCGTATGCGCTCAGGGCTTTGGGCTCACGTCGCTCAAAGACACTGAGAAATCGTGCTAGAACCTGGAAGAAGGCCCGTGAATGGATGCTCAGAGTGAAGAACCGTCCTTTTCCGAAGGATGTCGGAGACGTGGTCGATTACATGACTTTCTTGGAACAAGACGTTGGTACAAAATCGTGCATCAGTGATTTTATGGCTGCCCTTTCGGTTTTGGAAGACGCTGGTCAGGTTCCGACAAATCAGCAGCTCTGCAAGAACCGATTGGTGGTGGCCTCTTCTCAGAGCTTTGGTGCTGAGGTCTTGGAAGGCAAGACGGCTAAGACCCAAGCTCCACCTTTGACTGTGGCAATGCTGCTATCTCTTGAGATGTACGATGTTTCGAGTTCAAATCCGAAGTATGCCCGTTTCCTGGCATGGACATGCTTGGTTACAGTCTGGGCGTGCATGCGCATTTCTGACTTGCAGGGTGTGGATGTCTCGAGGATCCTGCTTTTCAGTAGTGGGCTTAAAGGCTTCTTGGTTCGTACAAAGACGACGGGCCCGGATAAGAAGGTTCTGGAAGTCCCGTTTTTCATTCGAAGGGATGCCAACCTAACAGGTCACGATTGGCTTTCGAAGGGCTATGATCTACTGCGATCTTTTGGTCAGCTGGAGAGGCGTTTTCTGGTATGGCAAGCGTCGGATGACATGCAGGAACCTCTTTACAAGTACGCGCGCCCGGAGGTTATATCGAGCTACTTTCGCCTGATCTGGCAGAAGCTTCAAACACCCTTCAGGAAGGTGGGGGAGAACAAGTGGAAGCTGGCAGGCGGCACTTGCCTGGTGGGACATTCTTGTTTCCTGTTTTGGACTGGGCATTCCATGCGTCATGTCCTGCCTACCATTTCTGCTGTGTTTGGCGAAAGCAAAGAGAGGAGGAACTATCTAGGCAGATGGAACGTCAACTCTCAACAAAGCTCTGACTATGTGCACACATGCCAGCAAATTGTGCATGATGTGCAAGGACTTGTGTGCGATAAACTATCAGGCGGAGCACCGGGCTATGACGAGGAGGAACTCTTCTCACAACTGGCTGGCTGGCTCGAACAACGGGGCGAAGAGCCTGGGCCCATCTTGAAACCTCATCGGGTTCTTCGCAAGGTGCAAGGTTGCTGGGTGTTGAACCAGACATGGCCGTTGCTGATGGAGTCAGGTACCGGACTTCCTCCAGAGCCGCCAGAAATCGTGCTCCGGAGCCAGAACACGGATGGAGGTCTGTCTCCATTCTGGGTCAGTGTCAGTCGCCATAGTGGGCATCGCCGTCTTCACATCAGGGCCAATGCTGGGTTGACCCGAGCAGTTGTCACTGCTTTGAGGAGTTGTGGGAGGTTGGATCCAACGTGGCTGACTCTTTCTGTAAGCTTTGCTATCGCGACCGTCAGGCGGCAGCCTCGTCCAGCTCAGGTGATTCCTCCTCCACTGATGTGGGAGAGGCCGAGTAGCTTCTTGTCTGTGGCCCCGGAGGTGCAGCTTTGGCAAATAAGACGGATGTGTGTTTCTGACTGACGCTGTCATGCCTTGACTGTGTGCCGCTGAGTGATTTGTGCGTTTCTGAAATTTGCTACACATGCTGAGTCTTGAACATCTGCCGATTCAGTGCGTTTCTGACATCTCAAGGCAGTTCATTTGAAACATGGGATTTTCAGTGCAGTCTGCCTTTTGTCGGCCTCGGTAGAGGTTTGGGCCTCACCTTTTCAGTGGAGCTTCGGTCAGGTGTTTCCCAGCTAATTTCAGGACATCTGCAGAGTGACTTTCAGAGTGCTGTCAGAAGGAAACTTTCAGTTGGGGCCTTCATCCCCTTGTCAGAGCTGTCAGTGTTCCATTTCAGTGAGGTTGATCTCTCGATCACGCGAGGGTTGCTTCCCTCTTTCAGTACTTTTGCATTCTCTTTCAGCCCTGCATAGCATGGCCGTCACGCCTGAACAACAGCGGGAGTATCTCCGCACGAATCTTGATTCAGACTTCCTTTACTTGCTCGAAGAGCATGGCGTGGACCTTGCTTTGCAATATCAGGTGGGTCAGCATTATAAATCAATCAAGACGTTCGCCGTCTTCGCAGACGATCGCAGTGCAGTCCGCACGGCAATCACAGCGGATTTCAGCGTCAGGCCGGACACGGCCGCAGATCGAGCAAGAATCGCCTGCTTGGTCACCGCATGGGAAGCCGCAAAGCTGATCCGTGAAGAAGAAGCCAAGTTAAGGGCAGAGGCCAAAGTGCTAGGCATGCAAAAGCGCCTGGCATCGTCAGACCGTGCAGCAATGAGGATTGCACTGGAATCTGTGAAGGGTTATGCTGTTCCAGAGTCTGAGGAACCTGCAGCTGAGTATCTGGCCCATAAACTGGAGCAGATCGAGAACGGGGAGCCGACAGGGTCCTACTTGGACAAGGTCATTTCACGCAAAGAGGCTGGGGCGCTTCAGCTGCAGACTTCTTTGGACAACCAAGGCCGTCTTCGCATTACCCGTCAGAAACCCATAGGTAAGTTGCCTCAATCCACGGAGGAGCTCCGCGCTAAGATCCGCTTGGAGGCTGCCACCTGGGTCATGCTTTCGGCCAAGTGCAAAGGGCGTGTCTATCTTCGTGGTTTGGAGTTGAGCACGCTTTGACCGATACCTGGAATACTTGCGGGATCGTTGCTACTCCATGCAGGTATCCTCAGGTTTGCCTTCCAGCACGTCTTCGGGGCAGGGTCGCCGTACTTTGCCAGTTCCCTGGAGCGTTTTGCTGCAGTATGAGTTTGAGATGAGGAAGTGGGCTGTTAAGGAGGCACACAAAAGAGGCGAGCCCCTGGGTGCTTTGCTTCACGAAGCTACTCGCAACACTGAGTTGAAGGAGCTCCGCTTCACCTCTCAGGTGGCTTTGGCCAAGCGCTCTCAACATGATGACATGCCCCCACTGAACAAGTGGTTTCGCAAAGGCGAGAAGGGCAACAAGGGCAAAGGCAAGGGCGGTGGTAAGGCTAGCGCCAAGACAGATGGCCAGATCAAGGTCGGGGAGAGCTGGTTTGATCTGGTCTCAAAAACTCCTGATGTGCTTTGCGTACAACATCAAGCGTGGCTGTCAGGTTAAGGGCTGCAAACGTGTCCATGCGTGCAGAGTCAAAGGCTGCCAAGGAAACCACCCAGCGTATCAGCATGGCGCGCACGGAGGTGCCTGACAATTTGCCGCTGCGCCAGTTTCATCATCGAATTCAACTGATGGTCGCCGACCTTCTCTGCGAGTGCTGTACCTATTTGCTGGGGTGTCTAGAAAGGCAGATGTACGGCATTATCTTCAGGAGTTCTGCGGCCTGGCGCAGGTGGATCTCGAGATTTCCGAGATGGATGTCTGCCGAGACCCCAGCATGGACCTTTTGGACGAAGCCATCGCCAAGCGAGCTTTGGAACAAATCCGTGACGGATCTTGGGATGTGGTGATAGTCACACCTCCTTGTAACACCTTTTCTGGGGTCAGATTCGTACAGCCTGGCCCAAAACCTGTTAGATCACGACTTTATCCTTTGGGTTTTCCAGGGTTATCTGACAATTTGTTGGACTTGGCCAGGCAAGGAAACCAGTTCATCGATTTCTCATTTCAGGTATGCTTTGCTACATTGGATGTGCACGCTGACTTCCTGCTTGAGCATCCGGAAGACCTGGGACGAACTCGATCAGGCCACACACCTGCTTCTATTTGGCAGCTTGAGGGGGCTCAGCGCTTGTTCTCACATGAACGGGTCTTCACATTTGCTGTTTACCAGTGCAAATATCTGGCAAATTCACCCAAGCCAACCCGCTTCATGACCACGATTCGGGCCGCGAAGACTATGCCGTTTTCTGGTCCGCCTAAGTTTGACAAGGATGAGCGCTATGCTGGGCCGCTTCCCCGGTACTGTGGCCACAAAGATCACGAGGCCTTGGTGGGCATGAGTTCGCCTGGGCACTGGAAAACCACCCCGGCTGCGGCTTATCCTCCGCTCTTGTGCAAACAAATTGCAGAATGGGCTTTCTCCGTCTTCGATGGGGGGAGCGCCAAACCTCAGCTGTCGGGAGATACATCTGGCCAAGGTGTCATTTTGTCCTTTGAACCGGATCTACAAACATGGAACCCTGACCGTGGCAAGGAGGTTGAGAATCTGGCTTTGGTGGCTCTGCAACAGGGACAAGTTACAGAGGCAGAGCTTCTCCACATTTCCTCACTGCTTCCGGATGAAGACAGGGTGAGGGAATCCACGTGTTCGATTCCTGGGCAAAGGTCTTTCACTACAGGCGCGTTCTTCCATGGTGGCAAGGCTGGCCTGAGACGAAACCTGAGCACTTATCCTGTGTGTTCTGCGCTGCTGGCAAAGCTGATTTCTTCGCGATTTCCTGGGGAGCCCTTCACATCCCTTGCCCTTTTCAGAGACATCAGTCAGCCTCCCCACAAAGATACCACGAATGGTCGGTACAACAATCTGCTGCTGGCTTGTTGAAGAGGGCAAGTACTGCTTCTACAATGGGGTCGAGGTTGGGCACTTGGCCCCGCTGGGACCCAACCCACAGGTGTACCGAGCATGCCGCAAGGGTCAGAAATACGACGAGTCAGAGTGGGAGCCTGAGATGCGGAACTACAAGGATGGTCCTGAGGTTGAGCGCGCTCTGCAGGAAGCTTTTCAGAAAGAAGAGAAGGAAGGCCGAATGTTCCCACTGTCCTGGAGCGAGGCTCGAAAACGCTACCCTGGTCATACTCTGAGAGTGGCGGCTCACGCCGTCGTACCAAAACCGGATAACCACTTCCGAGTGGTTCACGATGGCACGCATGGTGTCCAGGTTAACAACGATGTGGTGATGAGGGACCGGCTGGAGTCTCCTGGCGCTAAAGAGGTCTCTACTCTGCAGGAGCTGGGTTCCGTCTCAGACGAGAAGGTTTTCTTCGGCATCGTTGGGGACGTTGCGAAAGCTCACCGGAGATACCTGCGCCACCCAGAGCACTGGGGAGTACTGGCCTGCCGTACGCGGTCAGATTCTCCGGTGGTCTGGCTAAACCGGACAGGGACGTTCGGAGTGGCATCGGCTGCCTATTGGTTTTCGAGACTTATTGGATTGGTGGGCAGACTCGCTTTTCGGGTTATGCTGGAGGCCTTTATCTTCATGTTAATCTACGCGGACGACCTACACCTGGTCGGAGCAGGGCAGGATCGCTGGCTGAACATATGGATGATGTTAGCGCTTTTCTGCATGCAAGGCACTCCCTTCTCGAATCACAAATGGCGGGGAGGATTGCACGTGGACTGGGTCGGGTACTGGATAGACTATACCCGCTTTCATATTGGCATTTCCGAAAAGTGATGCAATTGGATCATCTCCTCCATTGAGGGAATCAAAGCAAATGGTTGGCTGGTCGATGTCCGGCATAAATCCCAGGTCTTGATATGGATAAGACCCTTCCTTTCTCCGGGATATGCTTGGCTGTCCGTGGTGCAACGTGGGGCTGTACTTTCACTGCCAAACTTGGTGCGTTGTACCCTGCAATTCATCATGGACAGGCTC